GATAATGTCAGTGCCAACGATATCTGAGGTCAGATCGCCGGACACTCCAAATCTGCGCATTAGAAATGAGATTTCTCTTACAGATCCTTACTTATTTTCCCCCAAAGCTCCCAGGTGTTCGAGCCGCTGGAAAGAGCTCCTAGGCCTGAAAAAACTCTACCAAAACAGCAATGCAAAGCCAGAAGATCAAAAGGCGGCATCAGCATCCAATCACAACAATAGTAAAAATGCGGCCAGAAGCTTGAAGCACTTTCTCAACCGCAGTTCAAAATCATCCGTAAACGCATCCATTGACTCATCTTTAAGCCTCCCATTATTGAAGGACATGGACAATGAGTCGCTCTCAATTTCCTCTCGGCTTTCACTCTCGTCTTCTTCATCAGGTCACGAGCACGATGATCTCCCAAGGCTCTCTCTCGATTCCGATGAACCGAGTACTCTCTCCCGTAGCTCTCACCGGAAGACAAACACTCTTTCCAGAGTTCGAGTAGTTAGACCTAGGGCATTATCTTCAGAGAACCCTTGAACGGCAACTCGAGTGGCTCGTAGCCCAATGCGGAGAGCACAGGAGCCTACTGCACAATCGTGTGGAGTTTCAGCGGATAGTCCTCGCATGAACTCTTCTGGTAAAGTCGTGTTCAATGGCTTGGAGAGAAGTTCCAGTAGTCCGAGCAGTTTCAATGGTGGCCACGGATACAAACACCGAGGAATGGAGAGATCTTATTCAGCTAATGTCCGTATTACTCCGGTTCTGAATGTTCCGGTTTGTTCACTTCGAGGCTCGTCGAAATCTGGTGTTTTTGGCTTATTTTCTTCGCAACAGAAGAAAGATAGTGGCGGTGGCGGTAGTAGCAATGGTGGTGGCAACAGAGACAGCAAAGTCATAGCAAAGAACCGCACGGATTGAACTTGAGAGAGGGAAAGCATGTTTTGCGGTAACACCTCTCTTTTTTCACCTTCTACCCTGGTTTTCTAGCTTTCTGTTTTTTCCCCCTTTTTTTCTTTTAATGTTGATGCTTGAGTTTTTGACAGTGATTAGGGAGTTCCTTTTGGTATTTTTCCTGGGAGATTTTTAGACTGCTTTATGTACATAAATGAGGGAGTGGGAATCTCTTTGTTTTTCTTTGGTTTGTTCCAACTCAAGTGCTGAAATGTAATGCTAGATTTTCTCCGTTGTAATGAGTCATTAAGAAGTTCGTTCCCCTATTCCATCGTCTTGTTTTGCTTATGAGAAAGCGATATGAAATCTCTGTTTCTTCTACTTTTCAAAAGTCTCTTTTTCTTTCCAATCCAATCATGATGATTTTAGTGGGCATGAGAGTTGTGCATGTGACTGTCCTGTCATTTGCCATCGGTGTAGTCCACGCGCCACCGATGCGGTTCATTAAGTTAAACAAGTAGCATTT